CTGGGACAGCCCCTGAGAGGCAGGGGAGCTGATAAGCAGGAGGCAGCGAAGGTGAGTCCACACCAGAGGGGCCTGTGACCGCTCACCTCGGCCTACAAAAATTGTGTCTCTGCTATCTGGTACCTTTTCCTTCTAGGGCACAGGGTGCCCAGGTCACTGTGTAATACCTGCTTGCCCTTCAACGCCCCGCCATACTTTCCCCCCTTTCCCCCAGAAGCCTGCCGTCCTGCCAACAGACGGGCACCCTCAGTGCTGAACTTGAACCCCTGTGAGGACATTCACTGAATTCAACCTGCTTGGGGCTCTTTGCCTCTTGGCTTCCCTGGCGTGAGGCCCCCGGTGTTAGTCACCGGCTTCTCCTGCTGAGCCAGGCACAGGGCCGGTAGACACTTGCCACTCCATAAGAGCCTGGTGATTCCCAAACAAGGATACAGCTGCCATTCCACGAACACTTGTGGAATTGAACTGTCTATTCCCAACCCCACAAAAAGCCCCTCCCTAAGTCCAAGCCTTGCTGGAGATGGGGGAGGGATTTCCTGGTACTTAGAACCCCTGATTCCAGGATTTTATTTGTTGGATAAGTCTGAGTGAACTTCTCTGTGTCAGACTAGGGCTGGGTGCCCAGCACCCATCAGTGACCAGCAGGGTGTGGTCCCTGCCCTCAGGGAGTACATCGTAATTGGGGGAGGTGGACAGCAAACCCACAATGTGCGAGCAGTGAGGAGGACGGAGCGGGAGAGGGTGCTGGGGCGGGGTCAGAGGAGGCATCTGAGGAGGTGATGTTTGAGCTGAGGCCTGAAAGACCACGAGCCAGTGAAGTGACGGGCAGGGGACAGCCGGTGCAAAGGCCCCAAGGAGAGCCTGAGCCCGGCTCAAGGGAGGGCAGAAGGAGGACAATGTGGTGCAGTAAGGAAGGGAAGATGAGGGAGGGCTGGCTAGGCTTGCCTCCAGCCAATTCCTCCAGGGAAGTCCCCTGACCACATCCAGTCATGGAAACCAGAGGGCCATAGAGGTCACCTATAGATGTCCTTCTTGTACAGGGAAACTGAGGCCTGAGATGGGATCATAAAGCAAGGCGGAGTCAGAGCTGGACTTGTCTAGTCTGTGTCCCTCACCAGGGCTTTATAGCTGGGTGAGAGTCCCCTTGTTCCTTGAGGGCACAGCAGGACTGCCCTTTCTTTGGGAGACCCCACCAGGGGACTGAAGTCCAAGAGGCTCAGTGGCTTGCCCATAGCTAGAGAGCCAGTGCACAGTTTAGAGCTGTGCTGGCCAATATGGTAGCCATTAGCCACACATAGCTATTTATATTTAAATGAATTAAAATTAAATAAAACCAAACATTTGGTTCCTCAGTCACACTAGCTACATTTCAAGTGTTCAATAATTACACATGACCAGTGGCTACTGTTTTGGATGGTGCAGATAGAATATTTGCATCATCCCAGAAAGTTCTTTTAGCCAACGCTGGTCTGGAGCAACAGTTCTCAGCCTTGGCTGCCCACTGGACTTACCTGGGGAGCAGATGCCCAGGTTCCAACTGCAGAGGTTCTGAACACCAGCCAGGACTGAGATTGCTGCTCTGGAGGTCTGTCCATATTATCTACTGGAGAGATTTTCTGCTTTGAATTCAGAACTTATGTGAGCATTTACATCCTTCTGTCAGCCCATATGTGCAGGCCAAGGTAGGGGGCTTTGGCTTCATGGGATCTGTCCTCTAATCACAGCTGGGCTGCTCTGGCCCCTTCCCTGGGTAATGTGAAACAGAGGCCTGGCATCTCTCATGGGGCTACTCAGGAGTAGGGGAGGGAGGCCACGCCATGCTCATTGGATGTGGGTAGAAGGGCTTGGCACACAGGGGCTTCACTATCTGATATGAGTGGATGGTGTGAAGTGTAGCTACTGGCCAGCTCTAAGTCCTCACACCTCTTGGAAAGTGGTCCCAGAAACCCCTGGGTCTGTTGACATCACTGTCTCTAGGAATCACCATGGCAGCTCCAGTCATGCTACCCACTGCCTTCAATGTGGAAGGACAGGCCCGAATGGGATGCTTATCCAGAGGGTCTCCCTAATGTCCCACATTGAGGCCTTTTTATCAGAGTAGCCACTAATGGTGAATGGAGGAACAGGGCTGGGCGAGGTGGGAGGCTTATGGTCACATTGGATCTCTCCTCACGCTGGGTCGTGGCTTGCTTTTAGAGGAAGCTGATGTACAGGGGCATGCCAGTTCCACTGTGGGTACCACTGAAGCCCAGAATTGCCATGGGACTCCCTGGGGAGGGGCACATTGCAGGAATCACTCCCATAACAGGTGGGCCTGGTGTCATAGCCCCATTTGGGGTCTCCTTTTGCTTACCTTTGCCCTAGGAGGGGACAGGTGGCCCCCTGACCCATCCCCAGGTATCTTGCCTACATTTGTGGCCTTACAATCAGGCCATACTCCTGACCCCACCTCTTTTGTCCCTGTTCTCTAGATAGTCCATGTTCAGTCTTGTTAGCAGACCTTTACCTGGCCTGTCCCTACAGCTGAACCCCTCTTCCTCTTATCTCCAATCTTATCTCCAAGCTTAGGCTCCACTCACTGGAGGAAAATAAAGCAAGGATAGGATAGGTGTGGGTTGATAGGGTGGGCAGGAAAAGCCACACTGAGAAGGTGACGTTTGAACACAAGTCCTGATGGAATGATGGATTGAGCCCAGTGGACACTGGGACAACAGCCAGTGCAAGAGTCCTGAGATGGGAGTGAGGCTGGCACTTTCTTGTTTAAGGAACAGTAAGAAGGTCAATGTGGCTGGAGCAGAGAAAGCTAGGGGAGAGCAGTGGAGCAGAGATTGTTGGAGCAGAGGAAGTATGAAGTCACATATTTCACATTATGTGGCAGCTCGACATCAAGCTCTGACATGAATTAATAGCTCATAGAACCCCTCTCCTCCATTGTGGCAGGTATGTTATTATGATTATTTTACAAGTGAGAACACAGCAACTGGGAGAGGTGGCGTGACTCTTGCTAGATCACCCAGCTAGGAGGTGGCAGGACCTGGACTGTTCCCCAGATCTGCCTGACACCGGGACAAGCCCCAAGATGCCCTGTTCAGAGTTTCAAACCCATACCACTAATATGTGGAGAGCAGACGGATAGCATTGATGGGGCTTTCCATGTGCAGGCTGGCTGGGTGGGTGTGATCCCTGCCTTTCCCACTTCTTTCTCTGCTCTACCCTGGGGTAGCCTTGGCCTGTGGGCAGCAGGTTAGGGAATGAGGACAGGGTAAGAGGCTCTTGTAGGAGAGGTCACTTGTGGGCTTGTACCAGGACAGAGACCTTTCTGCTTAAGGCGCTTGAAAAAGCTCCCTTCCAGCCCCCCTCAACATGAAGGTCCCCCCAACATTGTGGCTCCTCCAACACTGAGTTCTGCCACAATATGGAGGCTCCGGTCAGAACTATAGTCCAATCTAATGGAAGTGGCACTGGGGTAGGGGACCTGCTGAGTCAGGAAGTGATCTTGATTTACACACGCACTGCACGTTGTGCTAGCAGCAGATCCTGGGTTGTTTGTGTTGTTGGCAAAGTCTTTGGATTTTTTTGGTTAAGCAATGAGCAAAAAGGGGTGGGGCATCCCCAGCTCCTCCTCCCTTGTGAGTAGGGATAGAAGACAGAATGATCTGGAAAGATTAGGGAGGGTATGTAAAATCTTCCAGTGATTTTCCCTTTGACAAACTTGATATTTGAAAACCATTTTACAGATGAGTTTCTCTAAATTCAATCTTCTAAATTACAAGCTCCTATAGAGCAGGGTGTTCCATAGCTAAAATTGACAAAAAGAAAACACAACCAAAACCAAAACTACCACTAACAATAGAAGAACCCTTAAATTTAGTGGCTAGATTTTTCTGTATTTAATTTTATTTTTTTCCTTAACTTTCCCCCTGCAAACGTTTGGCTGGCAGACAGGCGAACAACTGAATAAGACACAAATGTTGGTGGGAAGACTTAAAAATTGTCCTTTGAACAATGTGGAACAATTTCAGGGTGTGTAGTGATTTTAAGGACAATTTCATAGTGTCTAAGTTAAATTAGTCTGAACAGTTTTAACATCAAGGAACCAATTCTATACCAAATCACGTTTCTTGTGTCTGGCCTCAGACCTTCCAAGTCCAAATGAAAGAAAGCTCCTCCACTTGCCAGGTCCCTCCCATGTGCCAGTTTCTGAGTTTACTGAACCCGACTATGGTCTGCAGGTCCAAGGACACAGTGTCAGGTCTTGATGTGGTAAGAAGCCTCAGGGCCTCGACAGATCGTATCAGTGTTGTGGTCTGGCCAAGTCAGCCTGCCCAGCAGAGAGGTGGTGGAAGCTTCCTGAATCTTGCAAAACATCCAGTGCGGGTCATTTGCAGGTTGGGAAGATGCCGGTGGGGTGGAGAAAAGATTAGGACAGTCTGGGTATTCGGACCGCAAAATTGAGTAGGGACGGCCTCTGGTGGCCAGGCCTTGGATTGCCACCTCTTTTAAACGTTTAAAAGGGCTGAAGGAACCTGAGGGCCGGGCTGCATCACGCTCCCTATTATTACAAGTGGGAAAACTGGCCCACAGAGCAGAGGCGTCTTCCCGAGATCGCACAGCAAGTCAAGGCGAAAACTAAGAATCGAACCTAGATCTCTCCACTCCGTAGTTGTGATCCGAGTGACTCGTGTTCTTTTAAATCGACACTTGTCCTAAGAGCGTTCGGAGGAGCGAACCATTTAAAGAGTTCCCGAGGGGCGAATTAGTTCTTAATGGAGTTTTGCGCGAAAACCTGGCGGCGCGAGCCCGAGCGGGTTCTTTAAGGGAACACAGGCACAACGACCCACGAGCGCCCCGCTTCCGGGATCCCAGAGGCCGCGTCGGTGGAAAGCCCGGTCCGCCTCCTAGGAAATGTAGTCCCGCCTTCGCCCCGGTTCAGGGGCGTGGACCGCGTGAAACTGCATTTCCCAGAAGGCTGCCCTCGCCGTCACGTTAGCCGGGCCGTCACGTTAGCCGGGCCAGGGCTGGTGGGGCGAGCCCCTCATCCTACGCTTTTTAAGTTCTCGGGAGGAATGAGTGACGGCAGGCAGGGGGCTTTGGCGGCGCCGTCTGTGGGCTGGCTGGCTGGGCGGAGCTGGACGCGGGGGCCATGGCGGCGGTCACACAGCCCTGCCTCCGGTCGGGGGCAAAAAGCTGAGGCGCGTCTCCTTTAATTGCGGTGGGCGGGACGCGGCGACGGGGTCCGCGTTGCTATTGGCGGCCGTTGGGGGCGCGGAAACTGAACGGGCCGCAACGGCCGTCGCAGCTGCCTCGGGCTCTTCAGGCGCCTGTGGCGCCGCCAGCCCTGCTATGGCTGCGCCCTGCCTGGTAAGTCTCTGCCGCCGCCGGCCCCAGGCCTTAAGCTCCACCTGGGACTGTGGGCGCCTGGCCGGCCGGAGCGACGCCTGCGAGACGGGCGGGTGGGGTGCCGGGTTCCAGGGCGGTCCTCTCCAGCCGGGTTGACAGTCTGTGCGGGGGACGCTGGGTCGGGGCACTTACGGAGCGCCCCCTACTTGCCAGGCCCTGTGCGGGGCTTTTGAGGTGAATAGACAGTCCCTGCCTGGAGGGTTTGCACCTTAGTGGGGAAGACACAGCATGTCCCAACTCAGGTGTGACCTGCGACCTGCGGGCCTCTGTGGTCTGTCTCCTCATCCTGAGCAGTGGGTGGCTGCATGGGGTCAGGGGGTCTTGTTGAGCGTACACCTCCCTCCAGCGTGGGAACAGCAGGCCACTGGGATGCCTGGGATGGCCTAGGCCTGCAGTGTGACCTCGGCGGGGCCTCCTTGTTCGAGTTCCAGGCTCCTCCACAAGCCAGAGAGGAGCACTCCAAAGCTGCTCATTTTGAAAGGTGGTTTTGAACGGGCCTGGCCCTCTGGCTGGGTGGTAGCCTGTGGTCCCTTTAGGCATCTGAGGACTTGGGCAGAGGGTCCAGACTTCTGACCCCTAGTTTGGTACTCTCCCTACAACCCCGCCTCCTCTCCTGATATATAAACCACTGCTGAGGGAGTTGAGGCCCACTTGTAAGGAGCTGCAAGAGGGGAGAGAGTGTTGGGAGTTACCAAGGAGCCCACTGGACAGGGGTGGACCTGAACTTGCCCATGAGCCTAGAGGTAGGCACTCTCCTACCCTTGTTCTTCCTGGAGGCTCAGGTGAGGGCAGGAGGCTGAATGGGGAAGGTGCTGCTCTGTTGGGGGTCCTCTGCCAGCTGTCACTCTTCCTGTTTGTTGAAAGAGGGACTCAGGCAGGTGTATGGGGGGGTGGAGCTGGGCACAGGGCCATGGGGCTTTTGTTCTAGTTGCAGCTTTTGTTGGATGGCAGTGGCTTTGCTCTGCCCCAGTGACATCTTTTCCCAAGAGGAGCCTTTGGGATCCCTGTAGCACCCAAAATGCTTCTTTGAAGTTTCTGATGTTTGGGGTGGGGGGAGATGAGGTATAACCCTTCAAACGCTGAGACGCAAGATGCTGTTGGGTAGTATCTCTGGAATATTCTCTCTGGTGTCTTCCAAAGCAGTGTCCTGTATGGCCTGGCTGTTTCTCTGACATTGGGTAGAGTGGAGATGGTGGTGATGCCAGCAGGGGCCTGTCCAGAGCTGACCTTGGGTTCACTGGTCAGTCTATGGTGATATTGAGATGATGGGATCTGATTCCTGAGATAGGGGTTGCTGAAAGGCCCCTATTTACTCTTTGTGGGTTTTTCAAAAAATAACTTTATTGGGATACTCACATACCATAAATTTATCTTTTTTTTTTTTTTTGAGACAGAGCTGCTGCCGTCTCCCTGTCTTGAGCTCAGTGGTGTCATCATAGCTCACTGCAACCTCGAAATCCTGGACTCAAGTCATCCTCCCACCTAGACCTCTCAGAGTGCTAGGATTACAGGTGTGAGCCACTGCACCTGTGTACACTTTTAAAGTACACAGTTCACTGTTTTTTAGTATGTCACAGTGTTATGCAACTGTCATCACTATCTAATTCAGAACATTTTCATCCCAAAAAAAATCCCATACTCAAAACAGTTACTCCATTTCTTCCCTTCCCATTCTCTCCAGCCCTGGCAATCACTATCTGCTTCTGTCTCTAAGAGTTGACTATTCTGGACTTTTCATAAAATGAATCAGACAAAATGCCTTTCATGCCTGGTCGTTCACTTAGCATAATGTTTTCAAGGTTTGTCATGTTGCAGCATGTGTCAGTACTTCATTCCTTTTTATGCCGAATAATATTCCATCGTATGACATACTACAGTTGTTTACATCTCTTGAGAACATTTGGTTAATGAACCATGTTTTTAATTCTTTTGGATATTTACCTAGAATTGACTGATCATTTTACTTTCTGTTAACTTTTGAGAGACTGCCGAACTGTTTCTACTGTTTTATTTATTTGTTGTTCTTTTAAAGAGTGTTTGTTTTTTCTGATGTCTTGCATTATCATATGAATTTAGGATCAGCTTTCAATTCTGCAAAAAAGGTACCTGTATTTGATAGGAATTAGTTAATTTAGATTGATTTGGCGCATTGCATCTTATAAATTACATCTTCCAATCCATAAACATAGGATGTCCTTCATTTTTAGGTCCTTTTTCATTTCTCCAGGACGTTGTCATTTCACCATACTTTATCATCTTTGTTTAATTCTATTTATTTTTATGTACACGAGTGGATTGTTTTTTTTTTATTTGGTTATGTTAGTGTACAGAAATATAGTGATTTTGTGTATGATTCGTATCGCGACCTTGTGAACTCATTATCAGTTCTAATAGTTTTAGTGTATCTTAGGATTTCTTTCTTTTTTTTTTTTGAGACAGAGTCTCACTCTGTTGTTCAAGCTAGAGTGCCATGGTATCAGCCTAGCTCAACAGCAACCTCAAACTCCTGGGTTTAAGCGATCCCTTATGCCTTTGCCTCCTGAGTAGCGGGGGCTACAGGCATGCACCACCATGCCCAGCTAATTTTTTCTATTTTTATTTTATTTTATTTTATTTATTTTATTTTTCTCTTCTCTCCCTCTCCCTCTCCCTCTCCCTCTCCCCTTTTTTTGAGACAGAGTGAAAGAATGCCATGGCATCAGCCTAGCTCACAGCAACCTCAAACTCCTGGGCTCAAGTGATCTTCCTGCCTCAGCCTCCGGAGTAGCTGGGACTACAGGCATACGCCACCATGCCCAGCTAATTTTTTCTATACATTTTTAGTTTACCAATTAATTTCTTTCTATTTTTAGTAGAGACAGGGTCTCGCTGTTGCTCAGGCTAGTTTTGAACTCCTGACCTTGAGTGATCTGCCCACCTCTGGCCTCCCAGAACGCTAGGATTACAGGCATGAGCCACCATGCCTGGCCCTTTTTTCTATTTTTAGTAGAGATGGGGTCTCACTCTTGCTCAGGCTGGTCTGGAACGCCTGAGTTCAAACAATCTGCCTGCCTTGGCCTCCGAGAGTGCTAGGATTACAAGCGTGAGCCACCACGCCCTGCCTAGGATTTTCTTTATATAAGATCCTGCCTTGAGCATTTTTAACCCCTTCTGGCTATTGTAGGAAGAATCTTGGTCCCAGGGAAGCCCCTTCCTCATCCAGGCTTCACACATTTGACCATGGCTCTCCCCCAGGAGGACCCCTCGCTGGAGAGGCATTTTAAGGGCCATCGAGATGCGGTTACCTGTGTGGACTTCAGTCTCAACATGAAGCAGCTGGGTAAGAGGAGGCGTCCTGTCCAAGCACGGTTATGAGCTGAGAAGGCCAAGTTTCTATCTGTGAGGTGTAGTGTGCAGGGAAGCAAAGAACAGCTAGGACAACACAGCTTTGTCTAGACCCACATCTTGCTTTCACCTCCCGGCTCTCTGGGTGCTGGGCTTCATGAGCTCCATTTTACATATGAAGAACTCAAGTCTCAGAGAGGTTAAGGGCCTTGCCAAGGTCACATAGCCTTTGAGGGTGGGATTCGGGTTTGAGCTTTTCCCTGTACACCCTAGCCATCACTTGGGTCTGTCCTGTGGAATGAGCCCTAAACAGTAGTTCCTTTTCCTTGAATCTTTATTGATTCTGTTGCCCATGGTAATATGGCACACCTTGTTGAAGAGACCTACCCCAGTGAGAAGGATGTTGAGTAGAGCTGGGGACCCGCTCTTCCACTGCCCTTATGCTACATTTGAGTGCACTCGCCTTCCTTGGTTGCATGGGGGTTCATACACAGCTTTTATGAGTGCGTTTTCTTATTTTCACGGACAAGGCTTGCCCCTTCATCTTATCATTGAGGTCCCTGCCAGAGGCTGCTGGCTTCATGATATGCTGTAGGTTAAGAGGGAACTGAAGTCATTTTTGGTCTGTTTTGGGGGCCTCTTCTAGGCTTCTTATTGAGTTGGGCCCTCTCAGGGGCTTGGGCTGGCTCTCCAGCATTGGGAGGAGTTGCTCTCTAGTTTCCCTGGGGTGCGTCTGTGGGGAGACCTACGGCCCTGTGGTGCTTAGTTTTCCCAGAGCTCTGAGTTGCAGCCCAGGGTTGTTGGCACATGAAGGGCCTTTGTCAGTCTTATTCCCATGTGGACATACTGCATGGAGAACTGCTGGGCCATAGGTCCAGTGGGCAGTCACTGGAGGTGTGGCCTGCCCCGTGGGGAGCCTTCTCACTGCCCTGCTTATGGATTCTGGGGAAGCGGAGCTGGGCCTCTTGTACCCCTGCCTCCCCAGAATCCTGGCTTTACTTGAGGCCTGCTAGAGTTGAAGGTCATAGCATCACCCACTCTCCTCAGCCAGTGGCTCCATGGACTCGTGCCTCATGGTCTGGCACATGAAGCCCCAGTCACGTGCCTACCGCTTCATGGGCCACAAGGACGCCGTCACCTGTGTGAACTTCTCCCCTTCGGGACACCTTCTTGCCTCAGGCTCCCGAGACAAGACCGTCCGCATCTGGGTGCCCAATGTGTAAGTTTTAGACTTTGAGGGGCTTGTCAGAGTCTGGGGCCCTGGTACCAGAGCTGTCCTATCCCTACCCTGACTTGGGACTCGTCCCAATGGGGCATCTACTGTGCTTCTGAGGAGATGCTATCAGTGGCTGGGCCTTTAGTTGGAGCCCTTCCCTCAGGGTTAGGAGGGGAATTTTGGGCTGACCCCAGCCATCATTGAAGAAATGCTACCTCATGCTGCTTGCATGTGGAGTGGGTGGGGCAGGGCGGGAGCAGTGCTCTGCTCCTGTAGGAGAGGCTCTGTTTTTGTTTTTGTTTTTTAATTTTATTTTTTCTTCTTTTTCTTTTCTATTTTTCTTTCTTTTTTTTCTTTAGGCGGGAAAATGGCAGATTCCTCAGAAAGAGGCTCTGGCCTTCCCTTTTGGGGACTGGGGCGCTCAGGTCTGACTGACTTTGGGAGGGGTGGGGAGAGCTTTGATATACTTGTGTGCCCTCATGTCACTATTGTGAGTTTCCTGACTTGTGATGCCTGTCCTTATAGCAAAGGTGAGTCAACTGTGTTTCGTGCACATACAGCCACAGTGAGGAGTGTTCACTTCTGCAGTGACGGCCAGTCCCTTGTGACAGCCTCTGATGACAAGACAGTCAAGGTGTGGTCAACTCATCGCCAGAAATTCTTGTTCTCCCTGAGCCAGCATATCAACTGGGTCCGCTGTGCCAAGTGAGCATTGTCTGGAGACCCTTAGAGGGACCTGGGGGGTGTGGGTGGCTCAGAGGGGCTGCTGAGTGCCAGCTTGTGACCTTGGACAAGTTACTTAGCCTCTCTTTAATTTTCCTGTGCCTGTTTCCTTATCTGTAAAATGGGAACAATAATAGTTCCTGCATTGTAAGTTGTTGAGAAGCTTCAATGAGCTGATGAATGACGTAAGTTAGTCTGTTGTCAGCCATGAGGACCCTCTGACATGTGTGCTAACATAGCACAAGCCAAGTCAATAAGCCAAGTTAACAACAATAAACTTCTATAAGATATGTCAGTACTACCAAAATGTTTCCTTCCTGTTCCTCATGAGAGTTCTGCAAGCTAGGTGGTATCATTTCCACTTTGCAGATTAGGCAGCATGCTCAGAATGGTGCAGTATCTTGCCTCAGAGCACATGGTGGGTAAGTGGCAGAGCTAGAGTTTGTACCAAGTCTCTCTGGCACTATGTTTGCTTACTTTCCTCTGCAGTGCTCTCTTCAGAGGCTGATTGTGCTCCTGAGCTGCCAGATGGGGCCTAGGCTTCTGAGGATGTTTGGCCTGGAGGCTGATCTTCCCTTTGGCCTGGGAACCTGTGCTGCATGAATGGGGGGCCAGGTGATCCAAAGGATCTTTTAAGGTCTAAGAATTACAGACACAGATTTGCCTACTTCTAGTTTATTTGGTTCCTTTCAACAGGGCTTTCTCTTATGTCAAATATCTTTGCTTAGGAGGAAGGGGTTGAGTGTGACCAGAAGATACTAGGAAACCATGGGAGTCAAAGGTTGGGGACTATTGAGCTGTGTTCTTCTGGGGACCCTATGCAAGTTACTCATTTTCCAGGGCACCCTCTTTCTTTGTTCTGGGAGGCTCCTGATTGCTCTGCAAGATCTCATAACTAGGGGCCTGAGGATAGAAGGAGCGAGGCCAGCAAACTGGGGGTGTCAAGCCCACACTGGGTCTTTGGTGGTGGGTCCCCAGGACATTCATGCCTTTTTATTGGCAGATCATGTTTTGCTGACCCATACTCGGTCAAATGTAGACTCGAGGACCTGGGCACGGGGTAATGACACTGATGTTGGGCTTTTGGCCACCTTCATGCTAATAATACCAGCAGTCAACACAGGCTGTGTGGTGCCACATGCTGTGTAGTGCTAGATGTGCGTTATGCTGCTGTGTGCTTACCATGAGTTAGACACTGTTCTTTTCTATTTATTTAAATTTATTTTTGCTCTAGAGCATCCAGAAAGAACTTTTACTTTTTCCTTTTAGTCAAAGTTTACGGTTTAGATGGAGTGAGGGAGTTGTTTGTGCATGAAATTAAGCACAAAATAAGAAAGAGTAACATGAAAGATCAGTTTCACAAATTCAAGAAGGGAAATAATAGGTGGGGTGTACTGGCTCTCCCCTGTAATTCTAGCCAACCTGGAGGCTGAGGCCTGAGGATCACTTGAGCCCAGGAGTTCAAGTCTAGTCTGGGCAACAACATAGTGAGGCCTTGTCTCAGGAAAAAATAAAAAGAAGAAAAGAAAAAAAATAAAGGAAACAATTTTATAACATTCAAATTTTAGTCACAGGTTCCCGAAAAACTCTTTAGAGGGGAAAAAAGAAAAATTATCAAGTGTTAAAAGTTATCATTTTCAATAACAAAACATGATTAAGATATAACCAAATAAACAGAAGTAAAACTGATATTTACCTCATATGATGCAATCCATATGTCCCTGAAAAGATATATTAGGGCATTCAGTTTTTGTTTTTTCTTTTCTTTTTACTTTTTTTTAAATTTTATTTTTTTTGTTTGCTGCCAGGAATACTGTTGAGATTTTCTTTTTCTTATAGAGATAGGGTTTTGTTTTGTCACCCAGGCTGGAGTGCAGTGGCATGATCATAGCTTAATATAACCTTGAACTCCTGGGCTTGAGCAATCCTCCTGCCTCAGTCTTCCGAGTAGCTGGGACTATAGGTGTGTACCACCATATTTGGCTACTTGTAAAAAATTTTTGTTGAGACGAGGTATTGCTATGTTGCCCAAGCTGGTCTCAAACTCCTGGCAATCCTCAAGTAATCCTCCCTCCTCGCCCCCCCTCCCCAAAGTGCTAGGACAAATTTTTTTAATTGACAGATAAAATTCTGTGTATTTATCATATACAACATGATGTTTTGAAGTATACATACATTGTGGGATGGTTAAATCTAGCCAGTTAACAAATGTATATGGTTGTCGTTTTGGCATCATTCTAATTCATCTCAGAGAGGGGAAGCCACTTTGCCTTGGATCACTTGGGGCCAGAGCAGGGCGTGTAACCCCGGGTGGTTCCTGGGGTCAGGTCGTAGGGACTCAGGGAAGGATTACTGTGGAAGATATGTGTGGCGCCCATGACATCTGTTAGTCAGTGGTGTGACTGTGCCCCATCTGGTTCAGGTTCTCCCCTGATGGGCGGCTCATCGTGTCTGCAAGTGATGACAAGACTGTCAAGCTGTGGGACAAGAACAGCCGGGAGTGTGTCCACTCATATTGTGAGCATGGCGGGTGAGTCCCTGGGTGCTGTCCTCCACCTGCGGATGCTCAGGCACAGAGCTCAGACCTGGACATAAGGAGGCCCAGTGGCCTTCAGTAGTTGGAACCTAGGTGGCTGGCCGCCATGTCTCTGCTGCTGTTTGGTGTCTTTTGCAAGGGCTGGCAACCAAGCTCTGCATCTTTTCCTTTGTGGATGGAAGGTTCAGCCCCACCCCCTTCCCACAAATAACAGGAGCACTTAACCTTATGCCATGTAATTCTTGGGGCCTCTCTTTTTTCCCTTCACTTTCTAGTACTCAGCGTTGCAACATGCCTATCTGTGAGTAGTCAGTATTGACAACTGACAGCTTTTCCAGCCTGTATCATGCTTTGACCAACTGTGTTTTAAAGCTTTTTAGTATGTTCCACCTATTGTGATGGCTTTCCAAATGAAAGCCTCATCAGGTTTTTGTAGCAAGTGGTGGCTGTTCATATTGAGCCACATCATTGAGAGAGGGAGGAACCTGCATTTGAGTAGAGACTCAATTGTTCCAGGTTGCTGAATGGACCTCAGCTTCTGCCTTCCTTAGTTAGCCTGGGAACTATAGGTAAGGGCCCCACCTGAGAGCTGGACATGGTACCAGCCTGAGTGTCATGTATGGGTATAGTGAGGGCCCTTGGCCTGTCTTCTTAAGGTAGGTAGGCCAGTGGCCCTGCAACCCTGCTGGACCTTCGCACCTGAACCTCAGCTGACAGAATCTGTTTTGCAGCCAGCTCTAGCAAGGGTACCAGCTCCAACTCTCAAAATCCCAGAACAGCCCAGCTGACCTTTGGGTCTGAAGACAGCTTTCCCTACTTATATTTAAAAATTGATGGTGGGACAGGGTTCTTGGTAAGTCCACCTTAGTTCACTGTTGGCCACTGTTCTCACCTCCTACATCTTGCTTTCTCTTGCCCACCTGGTAAAGAAACATGGCAGAAGGGAGGTGTCTGCGTCAGGGGAACAGGATGAGCAGATGCACAGGGGTGGGGAAGCAGTGGACATTTTTAAATTTCATCCTGAGCCAGGACAGACCTCATAGAGTGCATGGTGGTCTCTGTCTTTCCAGCTTTGTCACCTATGTGGACTTCCACCCCAGTGGTACGTGCATTGCTGCTGCAGGCATGGACAACACAGTGAAGGTGTGGGATGTGCGAACTCACCGGCTGTTGCAGCATTATCAGCGTGAGTGTTGAACAGCCTCCTGGGCACACGAGCAGCTGTGATGGAACTGCTGGTGCCAAGCATTGGTTCATTGCTGCAGTGCTTAAATGGGCCTGAGGATGGCCTTGGGGGGGAGAAGTCCCAGGTCTGTTGGGATTCCAGGGGTGGGTAGTCTGTGGCATGGCTGCCCTGACTTGGAACCTTGGCCAGGAGATGAAATATGGGGCTACCTGACTTTCACCAAGCCCTTTGGTGTCTCCCTCCAAGGTAGCAGAGTCTCACACACACTAGAGGGCCAGATGGGGCATCCTCAATGGGTCTTTGGCCAGGGCTGTCCTAGAGTGCCACTTCTCAGGAGCTGTGCATGCCACTAGCCTCTCCCTATGATGGAGGCCCTGCCCTCCAAGGCCAAGATGACAACCCTTGACCTGTGGTAAAGGTCCTGGGGCTATCAGAGGGTTAGCATTAGACCTTGTCCACCTCTGGCCTCTTAGTATCCTCCACAGATATAGAGCCATGAGTCATATCGAAGGTTGACTTAGCTAGGGGTCAGGTTCAGGAGGCAAGCCCAAGACTGTGCCCACTGATTTAATTGTAGTCCTTGGAAGGCAGGGCAGTGGGCAGTGGACATGAGCTCATGTCAGGCTCCAGGCGGGAGATGGGAGGTGAGGGCAGACTTGATTGTATGTGGGATGAGCTAGCTGAAGGTGTTGAGGTATGGAACTCACTTGGGAACAGGTGTGACTGGACAGGGCCATGAGGCACCCCAGTTTGGGGGATGGAGCTCAGGGAAGGGAGCTGCCACAGGCTGTAGGAGAAATTAGGAGTCGTGCAGCAGGCTAAACAGTGCTAGGTGAGATTGCACAGGGCTGAGACCAGGAAGGGAGCAGACCTGGAGTTGTTTGAAGAACTGTGGTCATTGACCTGGGACTAAATTTAAAGTTTATGGGCTCACTTCCCCAATTCACACCTGAAGTGGGAAGGATGTGGCTGTACACAGGTGTGGGGCTTGGGGTTCACAGCTCTCCCCTTACTCCCCACAAGTCCTTCCTAGCTGACTCTTGGAAGTTTGAGAACAGAACTGTTTTGAGGATAAACAAGAAGGGGAAGATCCTGGTGTTGAAAATCACGTGGTGGAGGGTAGATTCTGCAGCCAGCTTTAGCACTCCCAGCTATGTGACCTTGGGCAAGTCACTTGACTCCATGGGGCCTCTGGGACAATGATAGGCCCTCACAAGTGATGTTGAGATGGTTTATGAGTTAGTTTGTGGCTAACAAGAACTGAGTGGCTGACACAAAGGTATGGTGTTCGTGATGAGGACATTGACACTGATGATGCTGAGAGTCTTGGTTCTGGTGTCTGGTATAGAGAGGACAACCTGGTTGGTTAAGGCCTGTAGTACCCTAGACCACCACCAGGTGGCAGGGGCTAACTATAAGAACTGGTTCTTTACTATACAGGGAGTCCTGGGGTTTGTCACTGATGCCCTTTCAGACAGAAGCTTCCAGAACAGAGCAGCAGGGGGCCTGCCCTCTACTTGGAGACCACAGCTCTCCCTTCCCTTCTTCAGCTTTAGAGATCTGTCTTCTGCTCTGGGCCAGGCCTGAGTTAGGGGTGGGGTGGTTGGAGATTGGGCATGTCTACACAGTGGGCTGGAGAATATGGGCAGGTGCAGAGGAGGGAGGACTTGGATGGGAAGGGAAGGTGAGAGACAAGGCAATGGTCAGTATTACATGCTGTGGTTCTTTCTTTACGAGGTGATAATAGGGCCTTCCTCATGGGCCTAATGTGGGTCTGGTGGGAGAATCCACGTGAGGGTTATAATACAGAACAGGTATGTGTTTTGTGCTACATAAGCCTTGATGCTGGGAGGAGAGGATCTCTAGGTGACCTTGGGAGGGTCCAGGCCCCTCTCTGATGGATCAGGAGCCTGGGCCTGGTGTTCATGAGGTATAGCAACAGGTACCCGCTGGGGAGAGCCTCGAATGCCATCTCTGGCCCAACATCCCAAAGATGTGGCCTGGCTGGCAGTGCTGGGACTGGCTCTGTCACTTGAGGAATGAAGGGAAGAAGGACATCTGAGAGGTCAGCTGTGTTGAAAGCCTGTTTGGGTGGGGGCTAGTGTGTCCCAGTGACTGATAGATGGGCTCTCCATGCCCAGTGTCAAAATGAGGGCTGACATCAGATCGAGGGAGAGGTCAGGCCCAGAGGATGGGTTGTGGAGATTGACTAGAGACAGGCTGACCCTGTGGGGGTGGAGGGGGAAGCTGGGCCCAGAGTTCTAGGGTGGGAGAAGGGCTGAGGCCACAACCTGGGTCCCTACAATTGAGGGACTATGGAAGAAAAAGCTCCACAAAGCAGCTAGAGTGAGGGATGTGAGCCCCATCTCCCAGCATGAGAGGGCTGAGGAGGGCCCTCATTCTCCCTGCCCCCATTCTGTTGCCCGGGTGCTGTGGCGTCAGCCTAGCTCACAACAACCTCAAACTTCTGGGCTTAAGCAATCCTCCTGCCTCAGCCTCCCGAGTATGGGACTACAGGCATGCACCACCACACCTGGCTAATTTTTTCTATTTTTAGTAGAGATGGGATCTTGTTCTTGCTCAGGCTGGTCTTAAACTCCTGAGCTCAAGCAATTCTCCCGCCTTTGCCTCTCAGAGTGCTAGGGTCACCGGTGTGAGCCACCGTGGAGGGCCCTGGGATTCTTGAGGGAGCAGGCTTGGCGGTGGCAGGGTGGGGGAGGTGTAGGTGGATACAGATGAGTCCCAGGGGCCGAGTGCTTTGTGGACCTGAGTGTGTGTGGCTGACAGGCTCCACTGAGGGATTGCAGTCTGCTTGTGCTGCTGGCCTTGCCTCTTGTGATGGAGCTACTTAGTGGCTTGCAGCATCTTGTTCCTAAGCCACGTTTAGTGTAGATTGGAGGCTTAGAGGAACTTGGAGTACCCTGCAGACATGACTGGGTTCCCCCTGAGCTCTTGCGCAATGCCATGGCACATGGCAGGTTTTCACAGGTTAGTAAACTCATCCCATAGCCTCTAGGCTCACCCTCAAGGGCTCAATGACCTCTTTGCAGGAGGGATCTGGCCTGGTCTGTTCAGGTCTAGGGCCTAGCTGAAACCCTCTACCTGAGAAGCTCAACCTCTTCCATAGGGGCAGTGGGATCTCTTTGGAGGCTGATTCCTCAAGAAGGGCTTCCAGTACTGTGGCAGCGGGTACCTGATCTGTTTTATGTTCCCAATCCCTATAAAACCCAGGGGAAACTTTTTAAGAACACAGTGACACCAATTGTCTCCCCTGGTGATGCTGGATGGGCACCAGGCACTTCCTGAGTGGCCTTTAGGTGTGTGAAGCTATTGGGCTCTTCCAACAGAATTTGGCTAATGATGTTGCAGTGTGTGGCCAGCAAGCCCCAGCTTGCATGTGTCCAGCCATCGCATGATTGTGCTCTGTGGAGGGCACTTCCTGTTCTGGCTCAGGTTGTTGGAGTTGGAGCCTGCTTGGGGCTTTGGGCCACAGCGGGCAGCTGGCACCATTTCTCTCAGGCTGGCTTACTCTCTTCCCAGGCAAGGAGTTGCTTGGCTCTGGCCTGTCGCTGTGTGGAGCAGTTCTGACTTCCCAATTCAGCAAGGAGTCAACGGGCTGGTGGAGCCCCAAGAGTGCCAATCTCCATGAAGTGGTTAGCTCCATATGCTCTGAGCCCACGTTAAGACTGTTCAGACATCTGAACAGCAGCCCCCGTCCCAGAACCCATAATATACATTGCAGTTTATGGCATGTGCAGGTCTGTTATCCAGTGACAAGTCTGGGTTAAGCCAGCTTTGCCCCAGTAGGGTACCCAGGCTTTCTCTGGACCCCTTGATCAGTTTGGAGCCCATCAGATATTGGGCCCAGGTTTGCTGAGGACCTCTACATGCAAAGCAGTGTGGGCAGAGTGGATTGTGGTTACTCAGGTCTCTCTTTAGGCTACCTGCAGCTCACAAGCCATAACCAGTTCCTGGTGTTTGGGAACAGGGGTTGTGGTGACCTCATCCCACCCTTCCTGGGCTCCTGGTGACCTATAGAGGTTTGACACTGGTGTATGTTCGACCCTGAGTTGGAAGTTCCCTCTTTGGGGTGAAAGTTGGGGGATAAGAGCCAGGAGCTCATAGCTTCCACCCAGATGGCAGTGTGTGTCATCACTGATATCTGTTATGGAGCCAAGAAGAAGGCCTGCAGCTTTGGACTTGATGAAAAGTGGATCATTTCTGGACAGTTGCAGCTCAGGGCACTGTGATGGGAGGCTCACCCCTTTATGATGCAGCCCTCATGGGGAACTATCATGTAGGGGTGGTTCTGAAGGTGAGGCCTTCCTGGACTCCTGCCTCCCCACCACCTCTACAGAGGCAGGGAGGCATGAGAGCAGAGGCTGGTATGGCCAGTGGATGAGGCAAGAGAGCAAGTGGGGAAAGGCGGGGTGGGTCCTCGTGTCTGGAGCATCCCCAAATCTTGGAGTGCCAGCCAAGCCCTCTCCTAGAGTAAATGGCTCTAGGTATTTCTTGGTGTTTTTGGCATTTATGTGGAGCGGGGCTTCTGTTGCCCTTCCTCTGGGAGAGCTTCTGTCCCTTGGGTGGGCTTGGCCAGATGGGAGGCCCTACTGTGGTATGCACATGCTGACCCTGCTGCTTTGGTGATGCTATGCTAGGAAAGCCCTGGCCTCTCCCCTGCCACTGGCTTTGTCCCATGTGGGGGTGGGGGTGGCCTTCATCCCAGTGCAGGCTAGGGAGTCTGTGTATTGTGCCTCAAGGAGCTGGCTGCAGAGACCTCGGTAGCCCCGCCCCAGGCTGCCTCATGGAGCTCCTGGCACTCGGAGAGTGTTGTTCAGATATAAATATTATCTTACATAAAGCCTTGGCTGTCTCCCCTAAGCGTGCATGGGAACATGTCTCCATACTCCCCAGCACGTCAGCTAGGCTGGCATCCGAGGGACTCTGTGTACCCCCAGGGGCCCTGCCAAAGGCCGTTTTGCCAGTAGGTATGTTTACCAGCCCAGCAGGGGTTCCTGCAGCCTCTCAGTGCTGGGCTGAGAGGTTGGTTTTGAATTTGCCTTTATGTTTGTAGCAATTCTGACTTGGCAGAGTCATGATTACTTTAGTCCTACTGGTTCTCCTCATCAGGCCTGTGGTAATGGGAAGGAAGGCACCAGAGTCTTCCTCAGCAGCAATGCTAAGTGAGAGTCTGTGATGCAGCTGGTCTGTACATTGGCTGTGGAATTGCTCTGTCCCATGTGGACTGCCTGTGCTTAACCCCAGCTGCACTTAAAACATGCGCTTGGTCTTGAGAGAGGGCTATGTAACCTGCTAGGACTTCTACACATCCAGCCTAAGCACCTACTCATCAGCCACTTTCTAGGTCTCACTTGATGCTAGGCACTGAGCCAGAAGCCAGGAACTCAGCACAGCCCCTGCTTGGTGGAGCTCATGGTGTCATGGCATACCCAGACGTGAATCAGCTGCACGTATATGCGAAGAGTGAATCGAAGGGAGGCTTGTCATGTTTTGGAAGGACAAATGGAGGGGGTGGCCCCAATAGGGAGGTCAGGGGAAGCTTCCTAGAGGAGATAACTCTGAGTGGTTAGCTGTAAGATCAAAGGAAGGGAAAGGCAAGAATCTCCTAGGCCTATTGGGAACAAGGGGTAGAAAGGCTCCATGGCTGGGGTAGTTGCAGAGCTAGAGTGGCTGAATCTTAGAGTGAGGGACACAAGAACAGATGGTGGGGCTTGGCTGGAACAGTGGGGGAAAGAGAGCCATGGACAGGGCAGAGCTGTTGAGTGGGTAAAATGACAGGACCTGGAATTGCATGGGACTCATGGGGACCGAGGAGAGGGACATCCATGCTGGCACTGGGCCTGAGGGCTCATTCTGCAAAGGCTTTAGGGGCTTAACCTGGTAGCGTCCCCATAGCACCCCTAACACATGGGTGCTGTAGAACAGATGGATAAACTGAGGCTCAGGGTGGTCACGATGCTTGCTCAGGTGGGCCAGTGGGAGGCTGGGATCTGAACCCAGGCCTGACCACCTGAGAGTGTCTTAGCCTTCTGCTTACCTGCCTCCTATAGGGCAGTGACATTGTATTAGCATTTCAAGGGTTTTGTTTTCTCATTTGGCTTGCCTAAAGAAACAGTATGTGAGACAGATTAAGTGCTGCGTTTGAGCGCTCTATTGTGCTCCAGCTCAACTGCTCAGTGTGGTGGGAGAGGGTGAAGGAATCACTTGGTGTCTGGCTTGCCACATGTTTCACCTGCTTTGTGTCTCGCACTGCTCACCCTTGCCTCTGGATGGGTCTTCTCTTGTCCTTTGACTATGCTGCTCTTGTGGGAAGTGTTTTTTGGGCTCCCCACAGCTCTTCTGAGCAATGGGCACCCTGGCCCAGCACCATCAGGCCCATGCCGAGCCTCGATTGGCCCCCATTGCCTGGCTCAGGCTTCAGCTCGCTCCACATGCTTCCTAGCCAGCACCTAACTGATGTCCTTCCCCCAGTGCACAGTGCAGCAGTGAATGCCCTCTCCTTCCACCCGTCGGGAAACTACCTGATCACAGCCTCCAGCGACTCGACCCTGAAGATCTTGGACCTGATGGAGGGCCGGCTGCTCTACACACTCCATGGGCATCAGGTGAGAGGCATTGTCCTGGTGCTGAGTGGCATGGAATGGGGCAGAGGTGCCACCTCAGGGCCTGGGCTGGGCTGGGTTCTCCTGAGATGTCCTGCCCTTGGAGTCCACTGTGGTCCTCTCATGGCCTGGGAAATAGAGTGAGATGCAGAAACAGGCTTGCTACCCACATGACGTGCAGAGAGATGGATGAAGGCCTTTCCCTGTGAGCTGGGCAGATCACTGGGCTGGGGACTGGTATAGCTGAGAAGGGAGTATGGGTATTAAACTGGGGAGGTTATGTGCTTGGGGGCCACATCTGGGCATGGTTGGCAAACTTTCCCCCAGGGGCTAAATGGAATATCTCCCCTAATTGCCTCAGGTGTCCCTTGGTCCAGAAGTTCTAGAGTCCTAGAAACCATACCCTGAGTTGACATCAGGGTCTCGTGGGGGACCTGGGACTGGCAGCCATGGATGCTTCTAGAGATGGAGATGCTAGAAACCACAGGTTTCTAGCAGAGGCAGGCAAGAGGAGGGAAATCTGTACATTTGTTTGAGAATTCCTGAAATCAAATCAAGGGAGCAGAGGCCTTCTCTTAGCAGGCTTTAAAGCATCTGATGCCTTGGTCTCCTGGGGTGAGCACTGGCCAGCATTGGGCCCTTGTGGACCAGCTGTGGGGCTGCCTGTGACTCTCCCCAGCAGCTTGCCCGGGTTGGGCCTTTTACACAGACTCCCACTGGAAAGTTGTGGCTGAGTGGTCTGCTGAGCAGAGCAGTCATCAGAACATCAGAATGTCTCTTGTTGGAACATAGTCACCATGCCCAATTGGGATGGGGGCATGGAGTCCAGAGATTTAAAGTTCCTCCCTTCCTCTGCCTGCCAGCCCGAGGCAGGCAGGATGGAGAGTGGGAATGGGCCTTTGAGGGCTTAAGGAGGCCCTGGGAGTGCTCATGTGTCCTGGGCCAGCAGCCAGGTGTGGGGTGTCTAGCCCAGGACTTGCTCTTTTTTTTTGAGACAGAGTCTCACTTTGTTGCCCAGGCTAGAGTGAGTGCCGTGGCGTCAGCCTGGCTCACAGCAACCTCAGTCTCCGGGGCTCATCGATCCTACTGCCTCAGCCTCCCGAGTAGCTGGGACTACAGGCATGGGCCACCATGCCCGGCTAATTTTTTGTATATATATATTTTAGTTGGTCAATTAATTTATTTCTATTTTTGGTAGAGACGGGGGTCTCGCTCAGGCTGGTTTCGAACTCCTGACCTTGAGCAATCCGCCCGCCTTGGCCTCCCAAAGTGCTAGGATTACAGGCGTGAGCCACCACACCCGGCTTTTTTTTTTTTTTTTATTTGAGATAAAGTCTCACTCTATTGCCCAGGCTGAAATGCAATGGCACAATCATAGCTCACTGCAGCCTTGAACTCCTGGACTCAATTGATCCTGCCATAGCCTCCCAAGGAGCTAGGACTACAGGAATGTGCCATCATACCCAGTTAATTTTTTTCTTTTATTTTCGTAGGGATGGGATCTCATTATGTTGCCCAGGATGGTCTTGAATTCCTGGCCTCAAGCAATCCTCCCACCTTGGCCTCCTGAAGTGCTGGGATTACAGGCATGAGCTACTGTGCTGGTCTCTGCCTAGGGCTTTCTGAGCTATTTGGCATCTCACTGCCATCTGAGTTAGGGCAGATAGGGGCCATTTGGCCATGGCTAGGGTGTGAGGACATAAGCCTTTTCTTCTGCTTCCTTGGGGCCCGGAGACTGCTTGCTGCCCCAGCCTTGTGATCCTTTGTCTTCCCTGTCAGAGACGTGTCTGCTGTGCAGGACCAGCAGGCCTGTTCTCCTGGGGCTGGCACATCCAGGTGTGATGTGCAGCCTGGCTGGGCTAGTGTGATTGCTAGCCCTGCTGTAAGCCTGTGAGGGAGTCACCTTTGCAAGCCCTTGGGCAAGTCAGTTGTTCAGATTCACGTCTAGCCAGTTGTGAATCTTGTAACCAGGAGGGTATTTGAAAATCATGTGATCTACTCCCCCCCCCAAGAAAAAAAGGCAATACTCAGAAACAATTTGCAAACAGATGCATACCACCTGATCACCTCTTTGTGTGAGTGTTCTTTAAACAGCTGACTGACCTCTTAGCCCAAGAACACTCTTCAATGTGGTATCTAAAATGTTGTACCCAGTGTTCTGGCGCAGCATCCAGCACACAAAGGAAAGCCTGTTCACATTGTTCTCTCTGAGAAGTGAAACGAGGACTGTGGGACATCTTACGTGGTTGCTCTTCTGCTGTTAGACCTAGAAATATGGGAGGTAGGCAGAGGGACAGCTGACAGTTTGGGGTATAGAGGATGGGAAATGGCTCCATGGAATTGTTGGGTCACTTCTTTAGGGTACCAAGTTACAGTGCCCAAACGGAGGGAGAGGAAACAGAAATAAGCTGGCTTCTTCATTTTGCTATCTGCTTGTTCATTATCCACTCCCCAGCTCACTGGCCTGGGCACCAGGGAGAGGTAGTGGATGTCGTCCTGGTTCTACTTGCCAGGGTTCTCGGCCTGGGGATCAGGGGACTCGTGGGGAGGTTGACAGAGCCCCGGGCAGCTTAAGGTAAGTTAGGAAACCAGGAAAGGCAGGCTCGGTCTTCTGAAGTACTTGGAGGGTTGGGTGAAGGTGAGTAGGCCTGCCTCTGTTTCCCAGATAAAGGTGGGAGTCAGGATATGAGGCTCGAATTATTTTCTGCTCTCTAGCTCCTAAACTCACTATCAAATATAGAAACTTAGGACTTGTGTACCACTGGTCTTAGGGTCTCTTCTTTCTGGGATACCCATAACCCCCCACCCCAGCCCACTGTGGGGTACTGCAGGTGCCAGTGGGTGGGAACCCCTGTGCCTGGCTTGCTGCCAAGTGCTTGATTGAGCACAGCTGCTACCAGCCACTTCCTGAATTGTGTGGCTCTCCCATCTTGTTCACCTGAAACAGCCTGAGCTTTGGGAGGCCACAGCTAGGAGAGGAATGGGTTTGGGCATCAGGTCAGATGATTCCACCTTTGCCTCTTACTGTGTGACATTGGGCGAAACCTTGACTTTGCTGAGCCTCTTTTCTCATCTGTGAGATTGACATCCTATTGTCTGCCTCAGAGTCAGAGAGGATGTGTCTCAATTTCCCAGCACCAGATGCAGTAGGTCCTTGTGGATGTTAGTCCCTTTCCACTTAAGCTCTTGAAAAATGACATGATACTGTTTTTGGTGAGAGCTCCTTAAAAGTCCATTACAAGTTTCTGTTGTGGGCACACTCTTGGCACTGAGTGGATGGGCAATCAGTGTTTGCTAGGAAAATAGGTTCAAAATAGGTTCACAATGGGGGTGTCTGATTAGTTAGCCACTCCCATTTTGGGCACAGGGCTGTGGCCATTAGCCTCTCTTCCACCCCGGGATGGCAGCTTGCCAGCTTCCCCTCCTCCCATGTACCCACCAAGTCTCTCAGGGGTTATCTGGCTTTTATTTTGCTTAGGATTGTTGTCATCTCCCCTAGAACATCATCTTGTTTTGGCATCTTTTGTCATGCAGCTCCTGAAATCTGTCCCCTGGTGGGTGGGCAGGGGTGATTTCCTGACCCAGACTTGCTTATCCCCACCAGCTGCCTTAGTGCTGCCTTAGTTTCCCTGGTGCCTGAGTGTACAGGTCCACATGCAGTGCCCTTTACTGGGCCTGTCCATCGAGTCATCCTTTCCAGCGTCTGACTTCTGGAGGACAGGTATCAGGAAACCCACGTGGTAGCACCAGGCTGGCTGGTGGTGCCAGTGCCCTGTCCGAGGGTCTGAGGTCTTGCTTAGGGGATATGCCATGACCGTGACAATTAAGCAGGAGGAAAGAGAGCCCTTCTCGTTGGATGCAGTACAGATTTTGAGTTGTCAGAGCTGCGGAGGAGCCTCATCATCCTGTCTCACCCCCGCGTTTTATAGAAGGGAATGCTGGCCAGAAGAGGGAAAGGCTTCCCCACAGACTACTGCTGTCATTCAAAGCCTCGTGCCCCAAGCGAGGCCCTCGCAGCCCTGTGTGGCAAGCGTGGGGACAATGTGCTAGAAATACAGATTTATCTTTCCATATTTTCTGAAATATAATCTTGAGCCATGCTCATTTGGTGTAAGTTCCCTAGAGCTATTTGGGAGAGGATGGTGGGCGGGTTGTGGGTGGGGAGTTAAATCTGGTGTTTGTGGCTGTGCAGTTGGCGTGCATGTCGCTATAGTGTGACTGAGCTGCACACAGTTCTACGCCCCCCCCCACTGGCCCCCAATACAGGTGAGCTGCCCCTGCCTTGGGCCCCCAGGACCTGCTGTCTGCACTCGGGGCTGTGTGGGGTCTCAGGTGACAGGAACTCACAGGCTCGGAGTGTGGGACTAAGCAATGTTTACTGGGTGCTCGTGCCACACTAGGCCCTAGGCCAGGGCTGGGCAAACGGCAACAAAGATGTCACCCCTGAGGAGGGGAGGCAGCAGAGTGGCCTGGGCACTGAGGGAAGGCTCCAGGTGGAAGGCAGATCTCAGAATGTGCCTCTCCTCCCTTGTTTCTTCAAGAGCTCTGCAGCCCTTGTGTTGTCGTTTAATTTTGGAGGATTATTTTGGTACTTGAGAGGGTCATACCTGGCCTGGATGTTGGGTACCTCCTGTAAGAGGTGAGGAGACATGAGGAGAAAAAAACAGTTCATTTACTCCACTCTATGTGACCCAGAGGTCAGCCTGGCCCTCTGTTCCCTGCTATCTACCCAGAGTTGAGGGCTAGGAACAGGTGTCCTCAGGCAGGGTTGAGAGAGAACCTCAGTGTCCCTAAGCAGCAACTACTACACAGTGGCCACTCCCTGTCCACTGGGTTGTTATGGCCCTGTGGGCCACCACTCAGACTCAAGCACCTAGCCCACAGCAGATGCTAGCGAATGAGTGTGGAAGCCTCCTCGTGGGGGTCTGGAAGGAGCCGGCCAGTGAGCTGGGTTGAGGTTTCTCTGCCTGAACACAGGACTCAGAGACCAGAGTGCCCATGGT